CAACAAGCCCAGTCTTAATTATATAACAAAATAAAATTATTGAATTATAAGAGTATAAAAATTATAAGTTACGACTATTATATACATTATCATTTATTTTTCGTAATTGGATGATTAAGATAAAATAAGTTATCCTATATCCTACAAAAATAATTATAATCAGATTGTATTCCTCCGAAACACTTAAATAACATAAACTAGAATGTACGATATAATTTAAATTTTTAAAGGCATAGAAATAAAAATTTACTGTAGTTTACGGATAAAAAACTATATTGTTAAAAGAGAGAGTTGGGTTGTAACTGAGCGAAATACATAAACTATACAACATCACATAGTACTTACTTTGATATGTAAAACATGAAATCAAACCCGGGACCGTAGGTCCGTAGCGCGGATCGATATCTAGTTGTAATACTGAAAACACGTAGTCCATGAATTTCTTTTTAGTATAAAAAGACTCTGTTTTTTCTTATTAAAGTTTATTTTCAATAAACCTACTAATTTAAAAATGTAATCTAGTGTAAAAAGATGTATGTGTCTTGTCCTCATCGCGTTATGATTTGTATAATTCTCAACATGTATTTATATATGCATTGATTAACTGTGTACTGGGGCATGGTTAAATAATTGAACAAAAATTATGAAGTCCATTGCTAGTCTTTATTAATATAGATTCCACATTACCTGATATAAAGAGGACCAATTTTGTTTTATTGTTTTTCTTAGAAAAGTTTCTTCATTAGTTGCCAATTACAGCAAGTGCCAACCCAGCTAATTTGACGCTTTTGAATACGATTAACCTGTGGAAAATAAACTCATGGTGATAAATAAAATATTTGGAGTTAGAAAAACAAAAAAATTATCATTTCCGAAATTCACATTTTTAAAACATTAGATTGTTGTGAAAAAAACTTTAGATATTGACTTGATGAGAAGTCATTCAAAATGATTGTTTTCTAAAATCATTGAGAGCGTTGATTGCTTTTTAGATTCACTTAAAAGAACAAAATAAAATTTAATATATGGCTTCATCCAGTGGTGGAGCCAGCAAAAAATTTGACCGGGATCAATTTTATTTACAAGAAAAAATATCAATTAATATTAATTAAATATTAATATTATTTTAATTTATTAAATAATATGAATTTTGAATAGGTAAAACGACATATAAATACATGTCCAAATTTATTTTTGACATATATTCCAAACATCAACTTATAAAACTGTTCACATTCTTAATTTTTTTTAAAAGATTAGCAGTAATCCAAAAAGAGTTTTAAACTTGTGATCTAAAAATGAATAAAAGAATTAAAAGTATGATAAAAAATGTAAGGAAAAATGTTTATGTGTAAATCATCAATTATCTTTAGTAGATAAAAATGTTGGACAGTTGTAAAAGATAATAGAAAGCAATTAGGGTAAATAAGTGAAAATAATGTTTAGGTAGTTATTGGGTATCTTTGGGTTTTGATTAAAGTAAAATTACTTTAAACGAGCTTTTGAAAAATCATAGGGTCAAGTCACACGTTCTCAAATTACTTTAAGCTGCCTCTGCCCCTGGCTTCATGTGTCCCAATTGAAATATCATACAGTACTTATCATAAATTTCGCAGGCCGGAAATAAAACATGTATACAAATTTCATCAAATTTCCTTTATTCTCGTGGTTAAATTCTGTGAGTAACTTGTGTAGACTACATTATATAATCTTTTTATTTTTTCTTTTTAAAGTAGGTTTGCGATAAAATCTATAATCTGAATCCCGAATCGACTAAAACTAAAAAAAAAACACTGGATTCATACTCTTTCCGACATGTAAGAAACACCAGAATGAGTTTTTTATGGTGACATAAAACATATCCAAACCCGGAGTGTTATTAGCCGAACTCGAATGGATAATCCAAAAATCAAAAATTCTGAAAACTCAAAAACTGATCCAAATGTCTAAATTAATCACAAGAATAAATATTTGAAATATCACATATTCAAATGTATATTTATTCTGCAATGATATCTAGAAATAAGTATTCAAAATGTTAATTAAATATTTTAAATATCTAATTCTATATAAATAAGTATTTACTTCTTTTTGTTTTACTTTTAAATTTTGGATTTAACTACAGACATATCTGAACAAAACTAACATAACACGAATCCGAATGCTATATGATTACTTTATGGATTTTAAGATGTAATACAAATTAAAATCATAACAGATGTGTTATATCATAATCTGATATGTATTTATAATATGAATTTATTTATTTCTTGTATTTTTTAAAGTTTATTTTATTATAATATTAAGTAAATATTTATTATAATAAAATTTAATTATATGGCATTTAACTTGTCTCATACCTGATGAATGTTTGATTTTTAAGAAATAAACTGTAAGAAACTATAATTATAAATACTAATATATAATTCAAATATAGTATATAATCAAATAGTATTAATATCAACTAAATTTAATATTATATTTTCTCAAAATCAAATATAATAAATTATGTTTTAAAATTCTAATTTAGATATAATATTAAATATAAAATTATTTAGTCTCTTAAATATTAAGTTAAGTATAAGTAGAAATAATAGAAAAAGTAGTTAGATGTAATAGTCCAACCTAAACTACTTACAATTAGATAAAACTTGCTCATGTTTAATAGTATTGATAAATTACATATGCTGGTTTTATCAAATTAAATAAATCAAGTTGCAAAATGTCAAAGGAAGGATATATCTAACTGCTATTTTGACCATTTCAAAATGAGAATAAATTATCTAAAAAATATACATCTTCCAAACCATGTTTATTTCATGGCCATTTTTCTTGTTCTACAATAATCATTTTTTGTTTCCACCCGGACCATCGTTCAACTTAGTTACTCCATTCGGCATGCATCATTTTTTTTTGAAGAAAGGGTTTTCACAATTAGATAATTTGAGTCAAACTTTGAAAGCAATCGTCATGCATCCCTTATTCTAGAACATTCAATCTTTATTATAAAAATACACTACAAAAAAATCATTATTTTATTATAAGATCATGATCCGCGCATCCGCGCAATTTTTGTTGTTGTTTGTATTCTATATAATTTAGTTTTATATAATTTAAAACTTGACTAATTCCATTTTACGTTTAAAAACAATACCATAACTGTATTTTGTAATAATAGTCAATTGTATTATATAGATCTAACCATGCAGTAAAACACTAATTATATATGTTAATTCGAAGTGCAAAATCAAATTCAAACTTAATTGTTTGCATCAAATAAATTAGTTGATATTTTAGTTCTTCTGATGTTAATAATATATCTAAAGTTTTGAAAATAATATACAAATTTTAATAAAATATAACCTTATTTAAAATAAAATGGAATTGACTCGCGCTTTGCAAGCGCGGAAATATCTTATGATGAAAGTTTCACTAATAATTAAGCTATTTTGTTAATTTGAAGTGTATTTAAAAAAATTTCATTTAAATCAGTATTTTTGAATTCGACCCAAACCTGCAGTTTAACGGGTTAATCTAGTGATCCGATATTCGATTTTGATTTTTAAAAATATCCATATTCAAAATCACTAAACACCGAGACCAACCGACTGAACTGATGGATACTCGATATGTAATATTTAAACCTGAAAAATTAAGTTCTATTTATTTTTGTTGATTAAAAATTATTTGAATTTTTCAAATTATTTAATTTATCGAAATAACTTGAAAGAAATTTTTTTCAATTATTTAAAAAATGAAAGCTAATATTTTGTATTGTTTGGACACAAGATTAATTATAGTGTTGTTTGGAAACTTTGATAGTAGTATAAAGAAATAAGTATATTGTTTGGAAACATGGATTGTAGTATAAAGAAATAAATATTAGTGATTTAATGTATGTTTAACTATAAAGTAGGAAGGTGTATTTAATTTAAAAACTTACAAAATAAATCTTAGGTTCAACACAATGTTTCTACTTTAATAAGATATATATACTCTACCAGATCAAATCCTAACTGTTTTTAATCGTCAACTTCATTGGAGATTCATTGTACGAAAAACGCTAACAATAAGTCTTATCTAGGCATGTACATTCGGAGTCCCAATCGGATTTTGGTTTTTCAGATTTATCAAAATCAGACCCATTCGAATTATATGAAATTTTGGTTTGGGATCGATTTGGGTTCTATCGGGTTTAGGTTAGTAAATCTTCAAAAACCAGATAACCCGTTGTATTTTTTGGTCCGGGTCTCAATCGATTCTTTGGTTTAAAAGTACCTGGTTTCTACTTACTTTGTAACCAAAACATAAATTTTGGAATTTAAACTATCTGATTTATACCTATTTTTAACCAAAATATAAGCAAAAATTACTCAAAATAAGAGGAACATCAAATGTGATCATTCAAAATCAAACGAAAGGTAATCATAGTTATTGATCGAAAGAAAACCAATAAATGAACACATAAAATGAAAACCAAGTTCTCATGAAATGAGAAACTTTATTAGTGAAAACAAAATCAAAATCTTAAAACTTCAAACTTCAACTGCCCCTTTCAACCATCAACTTTCATGTAACAGATAATTATTTTAGATGTTCAATAATATTTTAAAGTATTTTCGATACATATTAGAAATTGAAATCATGTTTGGTATAAGTTTTTTTGAGGATTTTGAATATTTCGGATGCTATCGGATATCCATTTAGGTTTGGATTCGGGTCGGATAATACCCGTAATCCAAAATACCATAAAACAAGATCCATTCGGTATTTATGTCGTGTTCGAATTAGTTCAGATTCATTTTTATTGGAAGGGATTTGGTTCAAATTTCCAGATTCGGTTTATTTGCCCACACCTAGTCATATCATTGCAATATTGGATTAGAAAGATAACGAAAGAGTACAACGTAGTAGGATACATGGGTTTTTTAGTAAAGCAAACGTTATCTAAATTATTACATATCATGATATTTTTTTCCAGCGAATAATTTTTCCGAATTTTAGACCTGAATTTTGGAATACAAAGTTGGAGCCAACCTTGGTTTCGCACATGCGAGTAGAGGTTTGGCCATGAACAAGTTACTATCCGCTGGAACAAGCTTGACTTGACTTGCACCATTAGGGAGGGTCCATTCAAACCCCTGAAGAAGCCTGGCTAGCAACATTATGGTCATAGATGTCCCAATTTTAGTACCTGGGCAGCCACGCCGACCAGTGCTGAATATTATGAATCGCATCTCAGGCTCCATCAAAGTCACATCGAAAGAATTACCAACATGGCCAGCGAGGTGGCGTTCGGGCTTGAACACGTTAGGCTCGTCCCATATATTAGGATTGCGACCAAGCCCTAGACGGCCCACAAGAATTTGACTGCCTATTATCGCAATAAGATAAACGTCATATAATGTTAGACTACATCTCGTTAAAATATTACATTTTTATTTTAGTGAACTAGGTTCTTTCCTGCACCATGTGCAGAAATAAAAGTTTTTAAAATAAAATTTTATTTAAAATAAAATTTTATTTAAAATAAAATTTAGTTAATTTTTAAATTTATTATTCTGTTACATTATTAATTTACGTTAAATATATGTAAAATTAAGAGAAAATAAACAATTTTTATTTAAATTTATTTTTAATAATATATAGTATATATGTAAAAATAAAATCTTGGAATATTTTTTTATCTTTTTCTTTTGGTTAAAAATATTTTAAAATCAGATTCTATACAATTAAGAGAAAATTTTATTAGGTAGATAATTATCAAAAATAAAATTAAATAATATTTCTAAAATTTATAGATGCTATAAATAAAACTAACGGAATTGGGATTAGAAAATTATAATTTTTTTTTAAAAACCCCCATATAATTAAAAAAAAGAAATATTAACAAAAATTATATAATTATAAAAAATAGTCTTCAAAAATATTTCAAAATTTATAAATATTTTTATATTTCTATTTCTACTATTATATTATTTATTTTTATGTTAATGATAATTTATGAGTTATTACCATATTCTAAAAATATACCAAATATATATATTAACATTAAATGTAAATTTACATATCACAATTAACTTCAAACCATGTCATCATTATTTATGAACATGTCATCATTTTTGGTGAAATTGATAGTGGTGATATAAATATCAAAATTACTTTGCAAATAGTAATATATAAGGAATTTAATGCTAGACTAGATTTTTCGGAATTCAATATCCAAGACAACAGCGCTGCTATATTCGTCGTCATTTTTTCTTAATTGGTTACTAGATGGTTTCCTGCACCATGTGCAGAAATGAAAATTTTAAAAATAAAATTTAATTAATTTTTAAATTTATTATTTTATTACATTATTAATTTGATTAATGATATGTAAAAATTAAGAGAAAATAAACAGTTTTATTTAAATATAGGACAGTTCACTCAAATAGAACTTTTTAGGTTTTTTCACAAAAATAGATCTAAAAACTAAAATGACCAAAAAAATATTTTTTATTTAGAAAATTTCAATTTTTTTAAAAAAAAATTTTGTAATCCTATCCCCAAAAGCCCACTCCTTAACTTTAAACAAAAAAGTTTAGATTAGTTAACCCCTAAGTTGCATGGAAGCTTCGTCATACGTCTGCTTCTCGCTTTGGAACCAAAATCAGAAACGGAAGCTTGTGGAATCTCTCGGAATCTCGATTCCATTGCGCTTCCAAAAAAATATTTTTAAAAACACATTGAAAGCTTACGATTCCATTTTGGAATCACGCTTCCATTTTAAAAGATTCAATGTCATAAGTAAATAAAAATATAAGAAACATTATTTTTGTTTTTATATAATAGTGAATAGAGAATAAAAATATACAAATATTAAAACTAATATTATAAATTATCTTTATGCATTGATGATTTATTAAAGATATATCGTATATATTCAAATAGATTGTGTTAATTATTTACGAAATATTAAAAAAATCTTTTGTATAATAATATCTTATAAACTTGATTTATGTATATTTTCACGGTTTTAACGTAAAATCATTTAGAATTATTATAAATGAATAATTTTTTATTTTAAATTTGATTCTAATAATTTCTAGTCATATTTGTAATTTTTTATATTTTAATATGTGTATATATATATTTAGATATATCAATATACACTTCCAACACGTTTCCGCTTCCTAATTTTTTTTAAAATATCTCGTTTCTACGCTTCCATACGATTCCACTTCCGCGTATTTGCTTCCGTTTCCATGTAACATAGGTTAACTCAAAGGAAATAAGTGTATATTTACTTATTTTTGATAAACATTCAAGTCTATCTTGGTCATTTTTATTTTAAGGTCTATATTTGTGATTAAAACTTTTTTTAGGTCTATCTTAAAAAAAATTTCTTAAATTTATATTTAATAATATATATGTATCTTTTATCTTTTGGTTAAATTATATTAAATCAGATTCTATAATATTAAGAGAAAATTTTGTTAGATATAAAATTATCAAAATATAAAACTAAATAATATTTCTAAAATTTATAGATGTTATAAATAAAGCTAATTGTATTGGGATTAGAAAATTTTAATTTTAAAAAAAACTGCATAAAATTTCGAAAAAATTATTAATAAAAATATATATAATTATAAAAATACACTTAAAAATATTTCAATATTTGTAATATTATTATATTTATATTTCTACTATTATATTATTTATTATCTTAATGATAATTTATGAGTTCTTTTTCTTATCACTATTTTAATACAAATTTTTAATTTAAATTATATTTAAGAATATGCATATATATATTTAAAACTATAATCTTAGATAATTTTTTCATCTATTTATTTTAATTAAATATATTAAATAATTTTGTAGAAAATTTTACAATTATCAAAAATTCAAATTAGACAATATTTATTAAATTTTTAAATATATAAGAAATTAATAATTTTACGATTAAATTTTAATAATTTTCAAAAAATGTATACATTTTTGAAATTTTTGTAATAAAATTGTATAGTTTTAAAATATATAATTAATTGATATTTTCGAAATTTTTAATGTCATATGGGTATATATTTATTTTAATGATGATTTATTAGCTATTACCATATTTTAAAAATATTTCCAAAAATATAAATTGACATTAAATGTAATATATGAGTTGTTACCATATTCTATAAAGTTTTCCAGAAATATATATTAACATTAAATGCAATTGTCCATGTCATATTTAGTCATATGCCATGTCATCAATTCTAGTAGACGTGTTATCATTTTTTGTGAAATTGATTCTGGAGAGGACATGTTGCAAAATCACTTCACAAATAATGCATAGGAGACTTGTTGCCAAATGAATATTCGCTTAAGATAACATGAACATATGTAGCAGGAACATATATATGTCGATGCACATGCCTTGCGTCATTTACCAGTTTAAAGTATGTCATATAAGATTACGTCACAAATTTATTGGTCTAGTTAATAGATAAATTCATTTTATTTAAAGCTTATGTAAATTTCGTATAGGTATAAAAAATTAAAGTTTAAAAATCAATAAATATTTGTAATTTTATTGATCTGTCAAGTATATTTAGTTTGCACTTTGTAGCAATACTGAATGCTACAAGGTAATGTCAAAATAGTGTTCCTAGTTATATATATATATATATAGTGATATCTAGCTAACTTTAAAAAAATATATATGTAAAATCTAATTGAGATATTAGTAAAGCCAATTTTGACTCATCATCCAGAAAATAACTTAATGTGAGACGTATATATATATAATTTAGTAAATTAATTAAAATTTAAATATTTTATTTTAAAATTTTGTATCTTATTTTAGAAAATTTAATTAAATAAAAGAGAGCTTTTTCATAATGTTAAATATTTTTTAACTAATATCATAAAATTACATATTGCAGATAGTGATTTTATCATAAAACATTTTACTTATTAAGTGTAAAAAATTAATAAAATAATTGAAAGAGTAAAATTTAAGCAAAAGTAATTGAAATACAACTTTTGTTTTAGAAATATATGTTAAAAAGTGTAAAGAAAATCTTTTCTATTAGACAAAAAAATAAACAAATGAAGAAAACTTATCTTATAAAAATAATTAAAATATAAGAAAGTGTGTTAGAGAAAATTGAAAACAACAATAATAGTTCACAAATCTTAAATTGTGTAGTACTATTAAATAAATTAAACCAGAAAGCTGATAAGGCTATATGTATTTATGTTTGTACAAAATGTTTATTTTGCTTAGCATCAGCATGTTGTTCCGCCTCTGACCGTGTATATATATATATATATAAATCTAATAAAATGAATGATGTTTACCTTTGGGAACAAAATAACCAGCGAGAGTAGTATCTTTTCGGGCTACATGAGGAGGCAAGAAGGCATTAGTTGGGTGAAGCCGGAAAGATTCTCTACTACAAGCTTTGATGTAGTTGAGTTGTGGTATGTCTGATTCTTGCACAAGTCTGTCTTTACCAACTACCATGTCCAATTCATTGGTGGCTTTCTCCAAAATCTCAGGATTATTCAACATCTCCGCTATCGTCCACTCCACGTTGTTCATCGGATTAT